ATCATAACTTTTTGGTAGCCAGTGCAGCGAGTTAAGGTTCTTTTTTTGGAACTATAACTTGTTTTGGAATCATAACTTTTTGGTAGCCAGCGCTGCCAGGTATGGTTCTTTTTTGAATTATATTTTTTTAGGAATCGGAATACTAGCTTTTGTTTTTCTTGTTTGTAGCCAGAGCTGCCAGTTATGGTTTTTAACTATAACTTTTTTTTGGAATGATAGTCGATGTTTTGCAATGACAAGAAGCAAAAGACTTCAGCCTCCAAGTGAAAGGCCTTGCCTTTCAAACCTTTGTTGTTTGCGTGGTGTAGGGCAAGATGCTTGAGCGAAGCGTTTGTCACCCAACAAAGCCACGGAGCTGATGATAGACTGAAGGCAGAAGTCGCTAGTCACAGGAGGAAAAAGAGACAAGCTGGCTCACACAGACTCACAGATGGCCGTGCGCCATGCGCAGTTTGTTGAGCCCAGGGTTTGCTTGATTGGTATGTATGTTTGCATTTTCCTGCAAGTTCCTAGTATTTGTACAACGTTTCCTGAGTCCAAACTTCTGGATTCACCTTGCTGGTATCTTTCTGTGGGATTGTAGGTTTTGTTTTTTGGCGTCTTTTCAAAAAACTTATAAATCTGTTTCAAAATAACTTTTGACTATAAACCCTGACCTGTGAAATTCTACAGCCAAGAATATGATTCCCAAAATATTGGGCCAAGTATTCTGTTTGAAGGATATCCAACTTACATGCTGCCTACTACTTTCCACGTTTAGATGGGCTCCTCACCAGCTTGGATCTCACGCCTGGAGTTCACATGAGACGTTAGGAGATGCGATCCATGGGAATAACATATGACTTAACAAAGTATGTCCACTCCAAAAACTACTATCAAAAATCAAAAAGACTCCCTCAAGATGATCAAGTAAGCTTCAAGGATCGACTTGAAGTAGTTATTCATAGTTATGCTATGCTAGATTCATTCAGCAACCTTTGATTCAAATATTATGTGGAAGCTTCCGAGTTTTCCTAAGTCAAACCTGACCTCCCAAGCTGAAATCCTCTTCCCAAACTCTTCCTACCATCCATGTTTGTTCTGCAACGATATGATTGAAACATAAACAAATATCACTTGCCTGGTGACAAAGGAGTTGTATCCGCCTTCTTCTTCCGCCTTGGATTGAACGCGTAGTTTTCATCCCGGGTGCTGGGAATGAATGACATATGATAAGAAGAAATAGGTATTTTTGGCACTGTATTATTATTACCAACCTTTTGCAACATCGGTCGGGTAACTGGTACAAGGAAGTGAAGTAGGCAAAGCAAGGAAATTAAAGATATCAAAGGAGGTGTTGGTGATCAAAATGGACCTGCACCTCAAGTCTGAATGAGATGTCCGATTCTTTCTTGAGAGCCTCTACAGGTGGCCATGGTCATGGATCATCCTTGAACATGTCGGCATTGCTGCAAGAACCAATCTCTCATTTAATAAAACTGACCACTGTTCAGTGGATTTCCTGAACCTCTAATTGGAGCTCTTCAATCATGTCATGTGGGCGCTTAGATATATACCGTATACTGGCGTCTCGAAATCCAATATTTGAATCATCGGAATGGTTTAAATACCTGCCAAAACAGCAGCTGTAATCAAAGCTTTTGCAGGCCACCCAAGAACAACTCTAAACGATTCTAAACGACCATCATCGACTTTCACACATAACGTTTGCAAGGACCTAGCTAGGGCACAAAACACACAAACATGGCAGGGGCACCAAGATAGGTTCAAATTGTTCATGCCAGTTGAAAGCACGCCGTAGATGATCTGTGTCGGCACGTAGCAGTGCTACTCTGATCATCTTCAATGCCAAAACATCGAACGGCCAGTGGTTACATGAAAGGCATGAAAGGCTCCTACATCCCTACCTCGGCCTTGCGATTGGTTTGCGGAGTCCAGCCATCATCTTCCGTCAATGCCGCAAAGAAAGACTTCACCTCACAAGAAAAATTGGTCCCGATGAGGAGCTATGCCCTGATAAAGATCTGACAACGAGACGACCCTGTTTGCAGTCCAACTCCAACTCCCTTGCACTATCTCACACCATTTCAGGAATGACTCCAATTAAGGAACAGCTTCGTGTCATTCCATCAACATGAACAGAAGTAACCTCCACCAACTGAACAGATTAATTACATCAGAATATTTGCTAATCCTTAGGTACAAACAGTAAACCAACTGAATTCAGCAACATACCACCTGCTTGCGTTGAATTCAGTGGTTAGCAGGAAGGCCTTTGGAGGAAGCGTCCAGCGTGCCACAGTGGGCCTTAAACAAACTGTGCTATCATAATTCAAGTCGTGAATCTTCGCACAAAATTAGGTTCCAAGGAACCCTGCACTTGCTGTGCTGTTCCCTTTGGAGAGATGATATGAAAGGAACTGAAATTGGCCTGTTCTGTAGGTCTTTTGCAATCAGCAGGTCGTTCCTGAACAATGTGACGCGCTAACCGCAGCACTGATGCAAGCAAGTAGGGCACGCACTTTGCGTCGGTTGGCAACATAGTCCTGCGTCTTGTTGCAGGCATTTACCTGGAAGATATCACTTGGCTACCCTCTTCCAAACTGCCTGAAGCTGGTTTTAACGAGAAGCACGGTTTGCAACTCCATGCACGCTGCAACGAAATGCTTCTAAACATCTTCTCCACCGCCACCGTCATAGTCGCACAATTGTCGCATCGATCGTCTACTGTGGACAAGGTCTCCGAGACATGGTCTGCTCGCATCTTAGTGGGGCATATGGGTATGCCATATCTTCAAGGCCTTGCTGCACCCCATCCGACTGTTCCTTTTCGTGACTCAGGCTGTGCAGTTTTCTCCATAGTGACACAAGGCCAATGCCGTTCGTGACCTCTACGAAAGGCTTCTACACACCAGACAACACGTGGAACGACACCTAGAAATCCACAAATGGACCTCCTAACCTTGTTTCCTCAACGTGCTGGTTTAGCTCATTCAGCCTCTCTTCTTCTTGCTCTCTAGCTGGCCGCGCATCTGTTTTTTCGTCTTGATGCTCTTTCGCGCCCAAAAAGGCACCCACCGTTCCAGCGAAAAAAAATCCTTCAGGACCCGCCAAAGACCCAAGAAGTGCTCCTTGGGATCCGCGGTTGACAACAAGCGCGCCACCATTGTTGCTCTCAGCTTCCTTCTCAGCCTCTCGCTTTCTGCTCAAGTAAGCTTGACAATCTTCTGTTTGAGTTTCCCACTCGTTCTTCTTTTCGATCAGGTCTTCGAGGTTCCTCTCCTGCTCCCTCTCCAAGGCTTTGCTGCTGCTCCCTCTCAAGCTCCTCTCTCTCTTGCTTGAGACCTTTCATGGTTTCCTTGTATGCACTACGTGTCTTTTCTTCCTCAACCTCAATCTGTCTGGAGTGTTCCCTGACAACCGCTGCAGCCCGTGAACGGAGCCCAGTTAGCAGTTAGCTTTTACCAAAGCTGACGATTCTTACCTGCGAGCTTCTCTTCAAGGAAGCACTCTAGTTCTTGGCATCCCTGTTCATCATGCTGCCCACCGGCCTTGATGGCTTTCTCAGCCGTTTTGCCGTCAATGCAAAACAGCTTTGTCTCCTTGCCCGGAAATGCCTTCGCAGCAAATGCCTGCGCATGAGCGATCACTTGCTCCTGCTGTTCGACATCCACTTGATCCCAAATGGGACAACACAAACATGCATGGAGTTGAGTAGTTTTGCAAGTGCTTCCCCAATTTTTCTTCGGACTCTGTTCCTAGTGAAGTTGCCTTCATGAGGAACATGACATAGTCGGCACGCTTGACCTCGTCAAGCACGTGCTCCTTCTGCCTGAGATGCACAGTCTGCCAGAATGCAAGAAAGACATTGAGCAAATTGTCTTTAAAAACTGAATGAATCAACTGGATGCAACCTCGTCGGCATTGATTGATTCCAGGGCTGTCAACCAGCAGGATGCTCTTGTGGCTGCCACATGCTACCTCGCGCAAATCCATGGTGGTTGGCAGAACTCCTGTTTCGGCAGTCACTCTGCCCGCGAGAACATTCAGAAGATCTGCAGCTTCTCATTCCCCATTGTTGTTGCTGTGCTTTAAGCTCTTCAAGCACATGAGGTGGCAAATACTGTAGCTTGTAGAAGTAGAAGCCCTGGGAAATTATGGCCTCAAGCTCAGCCCGGGCATTTTGGATCTGGAGCGGCTGGATGTTCGGCAAATCCAACTGCCTTGGGCCTTGATGGCGGACTATGCGAGAAGCGCGGCCTGTGCTGCGACCGAACAACGGCGGCCCGTGCTGCGACCAAACTGCCCTCCACGCAATGAAGGGGCGTCCGGCCATGCCCAAGAGCATGGCCAACAACATGCGAGTCGCTAGCGGTGCACGCACCATCAGGGAGCAAGTGTTACTTTTGAACAACTTGTTCTGAAATCCTGAAGCCCAGGATGCCTGCGTCACATACATAAGGATCTTCAAGATCCGAGTCACAGACACAAAAACCAGATCTGATTTGTTTAAAGAATCAGGATTACAGTGGCATGCGGCATGCATGCTCCGGCTCTGGTCCCAGGCCTAGGACACCAGCACCAGCATCAATTCTTGAATCAAAGTCACCTGACCACTGATTGTGGAGAAAGAACATCCAGTGGACCAAAGACATACACTTTCACAACCTAGAAAACATCTCTCAATACACAAAGCCCCAGGCAGGACTGCGAAGAGGAGCCATAAAGGAAACGTGCTTGAAGAGAACATCAATGCGCCTGTGTCCAAACACATCCACTCCAGACCTTGCCATCTTCTCTTTGAGACCTGGCTGGTATGACAAAAAGGATGAGCTCGATAGTCACTGTAATGAAAGCCAACAAAACCCACTAGTTACACCGGTTGCAACGAAGAAAACCATGGATGAGGGTCCCACTTGCTGCATCCATCTCTGTCCCTGCATCAGTGACGTCCCTTGCTGTGAAACCTGCATTGAAGCTGATAGTGATGCGCTGCAGTGGTGCAGCATTCGGAGGCACCTTGCAGAAAATGGCAAACATTGTCAGCGACATCTGCATAGGATATTCACAGAAAGAAACTTGTCAGACTTGGGGATATCTCAGTCCAAACAGCTTTCTGTCTGTTCCGTACAAACGTGGTGATTTGCCTGCACAAAGGATCCAAATATGATGTAAATATGTATAATTAATCTCGTTCTCCAGAATCACGTGCGTTCCAGTGATGCATTGGCCAAGTAAAACCACCTTGCACACGTATCTCAGGACCTTTGACGCCGTTGGATTGCTCTTGTGCGCAAACGTCGGTAATTTGAGCGCTACTTGGCTGTTCGATGGTGTGTTGCTATGGCTTCAAGTAAGAAGTGCTTCTGACTGAGTGCCTAGATTCAAGGCCTGATCAACTGTGAACTGACTTGGCTGGGGCTTCACGCCCAATGTCCCAGCCAGGAAGGGAAAATCAACACGGTTCCCGGCCACAAGGACAGGGTCCAATCCTGAGTGGTCGCCAAACATAAATTATAGGACCGGATAACCCCACATGTGAACAACTTCGAAAGATTGAGGCTGCAGGGGTAAAGTGCGGAAGAGTGAGCGTGGGGAAGAGACAGGCGAGACAGATATAAGGCGTGAGGGTCTCTGTGTGTACGTGAGGTGTGTGCTTGTGTGTATGCGCTTGTTCGTCAGTGTGTATCAGTGTGTGGGTGGATGTATGCTGCTTGGCGCTTGTACTAAAGTTGTACTAGAAAGTCGCCAGTTCTCATCTTCCAGCTCCCCAGATACTCCGCGTACT